GGAGGGACGGCGCAGGAGGGGAAGACCCTCTATGAGATGGATTGATTCGGTGACTGGGGTAACCGGGATGGGTGTGTCGGAGGCAGTGCGGTTGGCACAGGATAGAGCAGGGTTTAGGGCTGTTGTGCATAGGGTCGCTATGAGTCGCAAATGAGTCGACGGCACATAACAACAACAACAGGTTGAATAAGTATGGTAAAAAGATGTAACCCTGCTGCACATCTATCCCTTTGTTCTGTTTAAACTCTGCTTCTTGGGCCACATACAAGTTCCAAATGAGCACAATTAAGTGTCCTGAAATTCCCTTTCTTCCCAGTATTAGCCATAATTCTTTCCCCTAATTTTTTATGATTCACACAGTTGATGGAGCATAATAAATATGATCTGGACATTGTACAAACATCTGGGGGCTACTGTGCATTGTGGGGGCAGCATCTACTTTTCCCTTGAAAATACCTTAGTACCTTGAGTGAGTACTTAGCTGCTGGGCCAGATCCCTCCAGTGTCCCCCAGCAGCCGTTGATGAGTCACAACAGAGGCGCAGGTGGGAAGTCTGAGGCAAGGGAATCAACCTCAGTGACCTTTACAGCAGCAGGGTCCTCTGTTCTCATGGTGGTGGGGGAACAATGCCAGACTGGCTTTCTGCCCTGTCAAGCTGTGGATGTTTCCCAGAAGGTGCACACCAGACTATGGCTATGTATATAGTTAGATGTTGTGAAAAAATGGATGTTATAAAACATATGAATGTATTCCTCTTCTGAATTTCCTCCTCTTTGTAACTGTGCTTTAGGGACTCTGCTTGCTTAATATGTAAGGAATTGTGCTGGTGACCCAAAGGTTACACCTTTCTGGTATTTCAAACCCATCAGCTGCTCTGAGGGAGGAAATTGGGCCGTCTCCTCCCATGTGATTTATATAGTTTACAGAAACCCACTGGAGGGCCAGCTATGAGTCAGTTCCTACTGTACGGTAGTAAGCTTTGAATATCAAATGCAGGGTGCTTTTGTTTCTGCTGTTCCCTATGCCATTCCCAGGGATAAACCGAAGCTTAGTTCTTAAACAGTGAAGCAGATAGTGTAGCTTTATTTTTCACATATGGTTTACATTCCAGGGAATTTGAAAAAGAGAAGAAAGGAACCTTCAAAGACCCATTTGTCTATGAGGTATTAGATTTTTATTTATATTTTAAGCACAACTCAATAACCTTAAAATTTGAATTTTTAAAAGTCACTAAGCCTAACTCAATAATCCTAAAATTGTGTGTTTTTAAAAGTCAGTAAGCCTAACGCAATAATCCTAAAATTGTGTGTTTTTAAAAGTCAGGCTTGTTAAGGTTAATTTACATACTATAGAATTTACCCTTTTTAGAGTACAGTTATATGAGTCTTGAGATCTGCGTTCAGTCATGTAACTAACCCTATAACAATAAAGTATCTTTGTGTGCTTTGTAGTTAACCTTTTTTCCATTTTTCCCACACTCAGCCCCTGCTAATCACAAAAATGCTACTTCTCCTATATGCTATAAATTATGTTATGATAGAGCCATTGTGTTAGATAGTAAAAGCTTATTTTATGGTATGGAAAGAGGTTCATGGGTTAAAACTATTAGAATACTTTGTTTTTACTAAAATCCTAACTAGCACATTGCTAAATAATAGATATATTTCTGTTTAAGTGGATTTATGTTTATGCCTGAAAAAGATCTTGAATAATATATACAAATCAGGCTATTCATCATAGTGGTTACCCCAGGGCAGTAGAATTATAGGTGATTAAGAAAAAATAAATAAGTTACCTTTATTTGCAAACTTCTTGACAATGAACCTATATTGTAACTGTAATGAAAAAATATAGTTTGTACAAATGGGTATATTTTAAGGTCTCCTCTAAATCTGAACATTCAGATTAAGACAGACTAGGAAGAAGGATTAGCCATCCTCTTCTGAAATAGCAGGCCTCCAAAAATCCTATGTACAACAGAACAGAATAACAGAGAATAACAAGAATAACAGAATAACAAGGTAGAACTTTCAAGTGTGGAAATACAAAGGAAGAGAAACAGTTGTAATCAGACACTAGTGATTGGAACGTGGAATGTGAGAACCATGAATGCAGGAAAATTAGAAATTGTTAAGAATTGGAACACATAAATATTGACATACTAGGCATTGGAGAGATGAGATGGACCATCATGGGGCATTTTGAGTCAGATGATCATATGATATATTACTCCGGAGATGAAAAGGCGAGAAAAAATAGAGTTGCTTTCATAGTTAAAAAATTTCTAGATCCGTCTTGAAGTACAACATTGTGAGTGACAGGATAATATCCATATGCTTACAAGGAAGTCCAGAGAATACCACTATCAATCAGATATATGCACCAACAACCAGACCCAAAGAAGAAGAAATAGATGATTTCTACCAATTTTTACAGTCGGAGATCCATTGAACATGCAATCACGATGCTTTGATATTAATGGGTGACTGGAATGCAAAAGTTGGGAACAGAGAAGAAGAATCAATAGTTGGAAAACATGGACTTGGTGAGAGAAATGAAGCTGGAGAGAGAATGATTGAATTTTGGACAATCAATGACCTATTCATTGCAAATACGTTTTATAAGAAACATAAATGCAGGTTATACACATGGATTTCACCTGATGGTACGCATAGGAATCAGATCGATTACATCTGTGGAAAAAACTGCTGGAGAAGCTCAATATCAGCTGTGAAAACAAGGCCAGGAGCTGATTGTGGAACATACCACCAGCTACTCATATGCAAGTTCAAGCTGAAGCTGACGAAAATTAAACTGAATCCATGGGAACTAAAATATGACTTTGAGTTCATCCCACCTGAATTTCAGAACCATCTCAGGAACAGGTTTGAGGCCTTGCACACTAGTGAGCAAAGGCCTAATGAGTTGTGGGAGGATGTCAAATGTATCATCCAGGAAGAGTGCATATGGTCATTACAAAGACTGAAGAGAAAAAAAAGAGACCAAAATGGATGTCAGAAGAAACTCTGAAGATTGCACTGGAGCTCAGAAAAGCCAAAGCACAAGGAAGAATTCAAGATACTAAAGAGCTGAACGGAAGATTGCAAAGGGCTGCATGGGATGACAAAGCAAAATAATACAATGAAATGTACAAGGAGCTGGAGTTAGAAAATCAAAAAGGCTGAACTCGCTCAGCATTTCTTAAGCTCAAGGAACTGAAGAACAAATTTAAACCTCGAGTTGCTATAATCAAGGATGATTTAGGCAGAATATTAAATGATCCAGGAAGTATTAACAGAAGATGGAAAGAATATACTTAGTCACTGTATCAAAAGGAACTGGCAGACACAGAAGAATTTTTTTTAATGAAATAACATATGAGCAAGAGCCTATGGTGATGAAGGAAGAAGTTTAAGCTGCTTTGAAGGAAATAGCAAAAAATAAGGCCCCAGGAATAGATGGTATATAAATTGAAGTATTTCAGATAACAGATGTTGCCCTGGATGTGCTCACCAAGTTGTGCCAAGAAATCTGGAGAACAACCACTTGGCCAACTGACTGGAAGAGATCTATATTTGTTCCCATTCCAAAGAAGGGTGACCAACTGAGTGTGGAAACTACAGAACAATATGATTGATTTCACATGCAAGCAAGATTCTACTGAAGATTATCCAAAAACGACTGGAACAGCGTATCAGTAGAGAACTGCCAGAAGTCCAGGCTGGGTTTAGAAGGGGTCATGGTATTAGGGATATTGTAGCTGATGTTAGATGGATCTTAGCTGAAAGCAGGGAATACCAGAAGAATGTCTACCTGTGATTCATTGATTATGCAAAGGCTTTTGACTGTGTGGATCATAACAAACTGTGACTGACTCTGAGAAGAATGGGAATCCCAGAACACTTGATTGTTTTAATGCGAAACCTATACTTGGACCAAGAGGCAGTCGTCAGAACAGAGTAAGGAAACACTGCATGTTTCAAAATTGGGAAAGGCATACACCAGGGATGTGTCCTATCTCCATATCTTTTCAACATGTATGCAGAACAGATTATCTGAGAGGCTGGGTTCTATGAGAAGTGTGGTGTCAGGATTGGTAGAAGATCTATTAACAATCTGTATTATGCAGATGGATGACACAACCCTGCTTGCTGAAACTGAGGAGGACCTGAAATGCTTGCTGCAGAGGGTCAAGGACTGCAGCCTTCAGTATGGATTGAGGCTCAATATCAAGAAGACAAAGATTCTCACCACTGGACCAGTTGGCAGCATCAGGCTGGATGGTGAAGAGATTGAGATTGTTAATAGCTTTAGTCTGCTTGGCTCCACGGTCAACACTCTTGACACCAGTAGCGAGGAAATAAAAAAAAACATATTGCAATGGGAAAGTCTGCTGTTAGAGACCTCTCCAGGGTACTGAAGATCAGTGGTGTCACTCTGGAGACTAAGGTGCGTCTGATACAGGCTATGGTCTTTGCAATCACTTGTTATGCTTCAGAGAGTTGGACAATGACTAAGGATAGTAGGAGAATTGATGCCTTTGAGCTGTGGTGCTGGAGAAGAGTATTGAATGTACCATGGACTGCCAAGAAAACAAACAGATTCACCCTGAAGAGGGTTAAACCAGACTGCTCCTTGGAGGCAAGGATTCTGGCGCCTCGTCTGACATACTTTGGACATGTTGTAAGAAGGGAGAGGTCCTTGGAGAGGGACATCATACTTGGAAGGGTGGAGGGACAGCGCAGGAGGGGAAGGCCCTCTTTGAGGTGGATTGATTCAGTGACTGGGGTAATTGGGATAGGTGTGTCAGAGGCAGTACGACTGGCACAGGATAGAGCAGGGTTTAGGGCTGTTGTACATAGGCTCGCTATGAGTTGTAAGCAACTCGGAGGCATATAACAACAAGTTTCCTAGTGTAGTCAGCAAGGCTAACAGTTTGTAGTGAATTCAGTGTGATTAGAAGAAGGTTGATCTGTGTGATCCTACAGGTCATCACAGGCTAAGATACACTTTAGGTAGGATGAGGTCAAACATGAGAAAAATTTAGAATGTACATATAAGAAATAGATTTGCCCTTACATCCACATCCAGGACACGAAATGCATGCCACACATTTCCTTTTGGTTTAACTCTCACATGAGAGAATCAATCCTCTTTAAAAAAATCAAGAGAAACCATTTTGGCATTAGGCCAAGTCTCTACTAACGTTACTGTTATTGAAGTGGAACTCAGGTTCCTAGGATTCAACTCCGTGTTTAATCTGGTTTACACCAGGGATTTGGTGAATGATACCAGCAAGTTCTCAAATGTTGTTATATATTTGAAAGAAGCAATTTTTTCCCGAATGCATTAAAGAATCTAAAATGATAAAAAAAAAAAAAGAAATAGATTTGCATGAGCAAAGAATGAAACACTTGTCTTATTCAAATTTGCTTTTCTAGTCACCTTCATAAAACTTGTCTTTCCATGTTTAAATATTTATACAAATCTTAGTGTGTATATAGAGCATTACTTGACATTTATTTTTGGCAGACGGATGTTCAAGTGCAGTTAATCAACAAAGGTCAACCAAACCCTCTTAAAAACATTTTAAGTGAAAATGACATCATATTCATCATGGAAAAAGTGGTAAGTAGTAATTCAATGTTATTGGTTGGTTAGTCTTGGATGACCAAATGTGATTCCTTAGGAATAATTTCAAATGTAATTTTATTTTTCCAAAGTAGATTCTAATTTTTTAGAAATAAGTCCACTGTCTCTAATAAAATTGTAATATGAACACATACATAATTTAAGATTTTCTGGTAGTCTCTATAGGGAGCTCTGGTGGCCTAGTAGTAAGGAGTTGAGCTGCCAACCCAAAGACACTTATAGTCCAGGTCCAGTCCACCAGCTGCTTCATGGGAGAAAGATGGCTAGCCTCCTCTCAAGCGATTTACAGCCTCTAAAAACCCTCTGGAGGGTTAACAGTGAATTATTTCCAAATTGATGTCACATACCAACAAGTAGTAGTCTCTTTTTAAAAAAGATAAGTACATATTTTTAAAAAATTGATAATTGGCTTTTAAAACACGATTTCCTGTTCCATAGGGAGTTCTGATGATGTGGTCCAGTTTCATGTATTTTACCACATATATAAAATGTGGTAATCTCTACCATCAGGACACAGAATAATTTCATTACCCCCAAAAAATTTCCTTGTGCTGTCTCTGTAAGAGACCCCTAACCTCTGGCAGTCCCTGACCACTTCTGTGTCTCTGTGGTTTTTCTTTACAAGAATGTCCCTAAATGGAATCTCATGGTCTGGAAGTCTTAGAGGCTTTCTTCATTCAGTATAACACCCTTTGACATTTGTTGCAGACCAAGGGTAATGTATTTTTATAATTATTAACAATGAAACAAAAACCAGGAATGAGATAAAACAGAAAGCGTAAAGATGGGGTCAATGACTGAAGTGCCTGGATTCCAGCTTCCCTGTATTTTTATTGAAAATCATGTGGAAGGAAAACAAAGGAAAATCACAAGGGAGTAGTAAACAAAAACAAAGGATCATGGGGAAGTCTTTTGCAAATAAGGCAAGAGTTCTTCTCTATTGTTTACCATATGCTTATCTAAGGAAGGAGGGATTCAGTAAATATAAACTATGAATTATGTAGACTCTTAAGGATTGCCTTAGTGCTACACAGGGTGAATTCTAGCTTGTATTAAACCTCCTTCATAATCCTGATATAGCATTTGGTTTACTATTCATATTAAATTTGATATTCAGCTTCCCACAGACATTTATCCAGATTCTTGCTATATATTAGTAATTCTCTCCTTTTTGTTGTTGAGTAGTAGTTGATGAGATAGATGTATCACTGTTTAGTTACCTGCTCACTTTGACAGATCTTTGGGTCATTTAAGCTTCACTTTGAGTAGTATGTACAGTATTACTAATCTTAATATTTTTTCTTTCTTTACTTGATATTATCACCTTAGCATCTAATTACTATAAAAATTCTATTATTTTAAATTAATTTGTCATTACATCTCAAAATCTAGTGTGTATTTGAAATACACTTAGCACTTTGAACTCACTCATTGCTGTTGAGTTGATGCCAATGCACAGCTGATTCTCTGGTGAGTTTTTGGGGGCTGTAAATCTCAGGGAAGGAGATTGCCCATATTTCTCTCAAAGAACCACTGGTAGATTTGAACTGCCAGACAGACACCACCTTAGGGGTTAATAGCACATCTCCATTCCAATTACGCCAATTTCAAATGCTCCAGGGCCACATGTGGCTAATAGCTATTGTTTGCATAACACAACATGAGTAGTTAAGACTAAGATATTTTATGTTGTATTTGTTAAATATAAAACCAAATAATTTTACCATTTTATATAATTATTACCTCATCTTTCACAATTATAACCATTGTGGTACAGTAATTGTGATGATTTTTAATAGGTTGAATGCCAATGGGGCCCAGGACTCAGTTCTTTGTTTGCATTCTGTCCTAAAGTAAATAGGAGCAGGCTCTGCTGTGGGAAGGTGAGATGCTCCCTGGGAAAGAACCCCTGTCTATCTTCATGCCCTCCTGAGGCTTCTTGTATGAGCCCTGTGATGAATGAACAGACAACTCTATAAAACACATGCGCACATGCACATACACACACCCTACACAAACCATACTCCCATGAAAACTTTTCTAAGACAAAGAGGTATGTTATATGTCTTTGACTTTAGTGAAAGAATATTTTTACTGCTTCTCTACAGTGGTGAGGTAGTTGGCAAGTTACAGCTTAATTTTGTGGTTCAATTCAGTTTTTTTTTATGGGAGAAGGGAAATAAAAAGCATGAGCTTGAAAAACTAAGATAGTCAAGTGACGAGGAATTATCTAAAAAAAGTGAGCAGAGGGAATTTATAGAAACCTGAGTTATAAGATCAAGAGCACTGCATCTTGGCATTGTGAGAGTTACATGGAATGCAATGAGGCCCTGGCATTTTTTAATAAGGAATTGTCTTTTATTTTTACAATTATCAATAAAGTTTAAAGCAGGGTTTTAGGTAGATAGAATACTAAGGAGTATAAAAAGGTGGTAGTGGTGGTTGTTAGGTACTCTCAGTCAGCTCCTACATACAGAACCCTAAATGTAACAAAATACAACACTGTTTAAAAAGTAAGAGTGGTGTTGTTGTGTACCATTGAGTCCGATCTGACCCATAGCTGACCCTCGGGTGTGTTTTCAGAGACAGTTAATTGCATGGGAGGAGATTGCCCATCCTTCTCCTGTAGAACAACTGGTGGTCGGTCGAACCATGCACATTTAGGATTGCAACACAGCATCTTGCCACTGCTAGGCCTCCAGAATTCCCTAAAAAGTAGACTAGTGGGGAGAAATAGATAACCTTTTTTAAATAACTTTAGTTCTAGAAACCGGAGACACGGCTAGGAAAGGGATAAAATCTAGGATTTAGAAAAAAGAAGAAATGTTCATGTGTGATATAAAGTTGGCAAGGTTAGTTTGGTTTCAGAAGAGCTTAATGAATAGGAACTAGGATTTTACAGTGGAACAATCTAGGTTCACATGTTGACTTTGCAGTAGCTTTGTGAGTCTGTTAGCCATGTGCACCAAGTTTTTCACCTATACAGTAAGTGTGATGATAGTGTTAGTCTCAGAGTATTTGAGGTGTAAATGAGAACTTAGAACAATATATATAGTATGTATACATAGACTAGAGAATGTAGTAGTGCTCTGGAAATGTTAATTCTTACAATTATTTTTATCACAGACAGAGCTGAGATAGTTAGTATGTAAATACATAGATCTAGGAATCCTGTCATAAAACCTGGTGTGCAGTGAGGCTGAAAAGTGATTACTCAGAAGAACAGATATGAGAATAAGGGCTGGCTGTGGACTTACTGTTATAAGCCAGAAACGTGATCTTCACCATTTGGGAGCAACAAGTTGGCAACACCCACGTGTCCTTTGGAATTTTACATTTAACTGAATGCTTTATGCATATGAGAGTACCTCTTTTTAAAATATATATATATATTTAGCAATTACGTGCTATGCATCAGAGAGTTGGACAGTGAATAGGGATGACAGAAAGAGAATTGATGCCTTTGAGCTGTGGTGCTGGAGAAGAGTGTTGAATATACGATGGACTGCTAGGAGAACAAACAGGTTTGCCCTGGAGAAGGTGAAGCTGAATGCTCCTTGGAGTCAAGGATTCTGAGGCTCTGTCTGACATACTTTGGGCATGTTGCAAGGAGGGACTGAGTCCTTGGAGAGGGACATCATGTTTGGCAGAGTGGAGGGGTGGCTCAGGAGAGGAAGACCTTCAATGAGATGGACCAATTCTGTGACTGGAGTAGTGGGAATGAGTGCGTTTGAGATGGCTAGGTTGGCACAGGATAGAACGGCGTTTTAGGGCTCTTGTGACTCGATGGCACATAACAACAACAACATATAGGATTAGATGCTTTCTCTACCAGGGGGAACTTAGATGATTATGTCTTCATACATTAGTGGAGATACTTCTGATGGCATGATTTATTGGTACCAAACTAATTTATGGCTGTGATTTCCTGCTGTAATGCAGTCACGTGTTGTTAAAGGACTAGAAATGAGGGTATCATGTGCTATTTTCCCGTGATCCCCTAGCGTGGTAAAATGCTAGCTTCGATCTTAAATGTTCCTTCCTTTATCTGGTTAATTAATTCCCAGACATTTTCAAAGCCTTTAGAAAAGGAAGAAACAGATTCTATTGGAGAAGTACATTCTGAAGAAACTGCTATTTCTGTCCTCTCTGCTGGTGAGAATGTTGGACCACTTGCTTTACCAGTTGGGAGAGCAAGGTAAGATTTTTTTTCCCCTTATCACTAGGATGGGGAATGGCATTTAAACTGAAGTGTTACTGTAAACATTGGAAAGAGCATGTATCTAATCCAGGCTTGCTTTTTCTCTCCTTAACCTTCCTTCTCCCATCCCTCTCATCTCCTCACTTTTGACCTTCCTATGTCCTTGCCATATTGAACTCCCAGCTCCAGGCCCGTCACATTCTGTCGCTTTCCTCTTGCATGCACTTTAGTCTGACTAGTGCACCCTTCTGTTACCTTTTTTCTAGGAGAAGTGTTTATAGACATCTTGCCACTTAATTCCCAGATTTCTACTTCTTTGATACCCTTCACAATACCTTTGCAAAGAAAACTCTTGGTTGTTTGCATAACTTCTTGGGAGCAGTCTCTTCTATAATGTATTCTTTCAACTTCTATTTTCAAGGCAGTTAATTGGACTTTACACAATGGCTCAGAATCCTAATATGACCCATTTGAATATTAAGCAGCCAGTTATTGCCCTTCCTCCTCTTTGGATAAGATGTGACAGTTCAGATCCTGAGGGAACCTGTTGGTTGGGAGCTGAGGTCATCACGACAAATGACGACATTACTGGCATTGTCTTCTCTGTGGTTAGCTGTAAAGGTGAGCTCTCACTCTTCCCACTTTCTTGTATGAATACTTTTTTTAAAAAAAAGAGCCTTACTAGCATGATTTTTACCATGGAAGTGGATAGCAAAGAATCTTAAGAGGGGGACGTGCATGCAGTAGAATTTTGATTAATCACTCGGAATCTACTGCAGTTTGTAACTTATAGCCTGTAGAAGGTAATTTTACAAGCACAGAAATAGACCTCCAAAAGTCTGTAAAGGAATTTATGCCTGTTATGTTCTAGTTTCCTTTGATATATCTCATTGGAGAGAAAGATCAATAACATGGTACACATAAAAAAAAAAAAGAAGAAAAATTAAATGTTCAGGAGAAGGAATTTTTTTATGTGTACCATCAAATAGGATCTGACTGGTACAGGAGGAGATTGTCCCTCCTTCTCCAGCACAGCATCTGGTGGATTTGAATCCTCTGGGATTGCAATGCAGCATCTTGCCACTAGGCCACCAGAGCTCCCTTAATATTTCTTACGTTAACATTGTCCTGTGTTCCAGTTTTATTATTTTATAAATATGTCATTAATACACCTTTTAAAACTATGTTTTAACAGTTACCAGGGTTGAGTTTAGTACTCTCAGAATTTGGAGAATTGTCATTTTCCAGGTGTTACAGTACAAGTTTGAGTTGAGTTTTCTTTTTTTTTTTGTCCTTTAGCTGATAAACATTGTTCTATGCGTCTTGAAGACCTAAAAAGTTCACACAAGAAAAGACATCATTTGTCTACTGTAAGTATTTTTCTCCTACTCATTTTTTCAAAATTTTATTAACCTGCTTTTCTAGTCTGAAGAGATTTTTTTCACTTCTGATGCAACTAGATGTTTCTCTACAGTGTCAAAATATTTATGTCAGATAATGACTAAAATAAAAATGTGTACTGGTACTAGCCATTTTCCTAATCTTTGTGGTTAAAAATAACTTTTAAAAGTATGATGCTTGGTAGTCTTCTAGCATAAAAAAGAAAGGTTGTTTTGATAAAGGAATTTTGGCCATAGGAAAGCATCTCTGAAGGGCCTGCTGGGTTCTCTATTTTCAGGTCACATCCAGGGGCTTTGCCCAGTATGAACTCTTCAAGTCTACTTCCTTGGATGATCTAGCCTCTGCACCACAAACTACAATCACTTTGAATATTTCCTGGAGTCCAGTGGATGAGATCCTTGAAATCCCACCCCTCTCTGCATCTGCGACTCTGGTAGGAGCAGCTCCTGTTTCCTCATTGGGCTGTTGAGATCTGTAACTGGTCACATACATGCTTGTACTTGGTACTGCTTGTTTGTAGCCTCCATACAGCCAGAGTGTGGTGCTGGATGACCTGAGGGTGTGGCTTCCCTTGTATTTGTCAAGGCAGCCAGGAGAAGGGGATGGGTTACCAGGCAATCTCTGATGGTATCAATTACCTATGCCTGTGTAATTATTGTACATAAGAATTTCCCATTAATTAATAAATAATAAAGTCTTGAATGGGGATCCAACTAGAAACATCAAGTGATTTTTTCATTACTGCTGTAATGAAGAGTACTAAACAAGTGCAGATATTGGCAGTGCATCAAGAATCTTCACTGTTTTATACCCTTCTGTCTTATGCTTAGCATTCCCTAATCAGAATTGCTACCAGACATTTATGCACAAAGATACTCAATGTAGTAATGTAGCTGTGATTCAAAAGTATTAAAAATTAAACCTGAATGTTGAACATTAGAGAAGGGATTAGATATATTTTGGATTTTTTTTTTATTTTCTGATAGATTTTTGTATTTAAAAAAAAAAAAAGAATAAAAGCCTCCCTGGTGTCATCATTCACCAAATAGGCCTGTATTATTTGGCTGAAAGTTAGCCATAGGTGTGAGTTTTGTTTCAGGTTTGAAGAGTCAGTAAAGGTCTTGATTTTAAAGGTTCCGGCATTCTGTATCAGCCCAGTCAACCTGGCCATTTTATGTTTTGTGTTTTATTTTCCATTTCTCCCACGACCTCAGCTCCACTGCTCTTTTTAGGACCTTCTACTATGATCCCTTTTAGAGCAATTAGAAGTGGTAGCTGGACACTATCTAGTTCTTTTGATCTCAAGGTAGTAAAGGTTGAGGTTCATGGGATCCATTAGTTCTCTGAACTGTTTCTATACATCTTTGCTTTCTTCTCTCTTTTTTTCCAGACAAGGAGAGACTAATAGTTACACCTTAGATGGCTGCTCATAAGCTTTTTTTAAGACTCCATTTACTACTCACCAAAGTAGAATGTAGAACATTATCCTTGTGGACTATGTAATGCCGATGTCCCCCCAAAAGTGCAATCAGTTCCAAGACTCTAGGATCTTATCTCAGAACTCACTTCATTGCTCTTGAATTTCCAGCAATTTATAGCTAACCCTGCAACAAGTTTTTGAGGCTACAAATCACATAAGATTTAAGATTGCACATCTTTCTCCTAAGGAGCCAGTAGAGAAGTTTTGGGTTAGTAGTGCAGCTCCATACTGGATAGGCCATCAGAGCTCTGGAGGATATTGTAAAGTCTTTTAGAGTCATGTTTTAAAATTTCTTTTGTCATGCTAGAAATGCTTTTTATTAAGAAAAAAAAAATACATATGTAATTGTATATACAGTAAGATCTCAACTATTTTATTGTTCTGTTTGGGTTTTCTTTTTAACTGCATAGAAAGAACCCTGAATAAAAACTTGCTGCTCTGTTAAGAGTGATTTCTCTGAAGTCATGAGATTATGGATAATTATATTTTTGTGCTGTTTTCTCCCTGTAGGAAAATTTAATATATATTGGAATTTAGTTTTTCATTTTTATTTGCCATCTCCCTTCCAAAGGTGTTAAATTTCTACAGCTTGATTAGTAAAACACAGTTTACTTGGTAGAGGGGGTGTGTGTGTGTATCTCTGTGTGTGTGATTTCTACAACTTGATTAGCAAAACAGTTTAGTTGGTAGAGGGTGGGGGGGCGAGAGAAAGATACTGTTGAATTTTTTTAGGGTCTTGAGATATATTTATTTCTAGTTCTTTTACCACATCATCCTCTTGGAAATCCAGTGTTTAAGGACAGGAAAGCTTGTGAAGAGAAAGAGAGCAGCTGGTTCATGTAGGTACAGTTTGCTTAGGGTGTAGAAAGAGGGTATGTGGCCTGAATTTAGGGCAGGAATTACATTATTGCCTCTGTGTACAATACTCTTCCTAAATGAGATAGTTCCCTAATTTTTCAATAATGTTCACATCTTTTGAGTGTAATTTTAATATGTGATAAATAACTATAATTATGTACAAAAGATGAGATTTCAATCCAGTGAAAACTGACATACTTTGGAAAATTTTTAGAATATTAAAGTGGAATCTGGAGAATCAAGAAGTCCTTTGAATAATCTTCACCGACAACTGAAGTTTCTTCTTGTGAGTATATCTCTTATCTTCATAAAAATGTTTGCTAAAATAATTTTTCTAAAAATTTACTTGTAAATAATGGAGATTTAAAGTTATGCTAATGATTAATAAAGTATGTTTTTCAAAATTTTATGTTTCAGTAATCTACACTTCATTGCACAAATTGAATTTCAAGAGGGTGCTTCGTTTAGAAAGTCCAAATTATTTCTCATTTTAAAAAAACTTTAAAACAAAACAACTTTATTGAGATTTTGTTGTTTATTGCCATCAAGTTGAACACAACTCGTAGTACTCCATGAACAAAAGACCTAATGTTTTTCTATAACTATTGTTGTTTCTCCAGGTTCATAGAGTTTCCATAGGCATGTGATTTAGAAAGTGGATACCACTCTTGCTTCCATACCTGTTTTACAACTGGGAGCTCAAACATACACTGTCCCCCACATTGGGAAACCATTATAGCATTTGACACCTCAATGGCACAAGGTTACTTCAGTAAACCCAGATTACTTCAGTATAGCAAATTGACGAAGAGTGATGCACAAAGAAGAATGTTCCTCCAAAATATAACAACACTAGTCTCACTTAGCAGTGGTTAAGTGTCATCAGGTTGAATGACTCATAGCAACGCTATGAACAAAAAAACTTGAACTCTGTTCTAAAATATAATAAACATCATTTCTTCCCCCCCATTTTTAAAAAATTAATTTTAATGAAAGTTTACAGAGACTTTGGATTTCCATTCATTTATTGTTGCACTTTTTTGCCCTGCCCACCCCTCCCCCTCAGTTCGCTCTTCTCTTTGAAAAGTAAAAGAAAAATTCTCTCATTGTTATATAATCCCTTCCCCCAAGTCCACTCTACTATGCAGCCTTCATTCTGGACCCCTGTCATGACAGTAATACCTAATCATAAATCCCTTTTAAACAGTTCTCTCCCTCATCTATTTCAATGCAGTATACATTATTTATCCCCTCTTTCTCAGTCTTCCCCCAACCCCATTGTCAGTCCCAATTTACAACAGTGGCACTATGCAATATTTGGCCTTTTGTGACTGAGATATTTCACTCAGCATAATGTTCTCCAGGGTCACCCATTTTGTATAATATTTCATGAGTTCCTTGTTTTTCAGTGCAGCGTAGAATTTCATTGTGTGAATATCCATTTGTTTGTTGATGGGCGCTTGGGTTGTTTCCAGCTCTTTGCTATTGTGAACAAGGCCACAGTAAACATTGGTGTGCATATATCTGCTTGGATGGCAGTTATGGTTTCTTTAGGGTATATTCCCAGTGGAATTGCTGGGTCAAATGGTATTTTTATTTGCAACTTTTTGAGAAAGTGCCATACACCTTTCCATAGTGGTTGCACCATTTCACACTCACACCAACAGTGAATAAGGGTTCCAGTTTCTCTGCAGTCTCACCAGCATTTGATGTTTGCTGTTCTGTTAAATTTTGCTATTTTTACTGTGATGAGATGATACCAATTAATACCATTTCTTTATGCTGGTAGAGTTTATAGAGTTTCCAGAGGCATCTGGTTTAGGAAGTGGATATCACTCCTGCTTCCAAACCTGAATGAATCTGGAAGCTCCTCCAAACACTATTCATGATGGGTAACCATTATGGTATTTGACACAACAGTGGCACAGTGTTCACCATCACAGCAACTATTTGTCTGTTTGCTGTACCGAACAACTTGGAATTGCTTGAATTTGACTGGTACAGGAGGAGATTGCCTCACCTTCTCCAGCAGAGCATCTGGTAGATTCAAACCACACACCTCTGGGATTGCAGTGCAGCTTCTTGCCACTAGGCCACCAGAGCTCCCTAAGTGCATTGACTTTAAGGACAGTTCGGTCCTTGTTGGTTCCATTGGAGTTTCTTGGACTTCATCTTTCCCCAGCACATGTGTCTGTGTTAGTCAGCTCTTACTCTTAAAGACCCTATTTCTAAACACAGTTCTGGTGGCTTAGTGGTAAAGGAATTGCACTGCCATCACAAAGTTCAAATCCACCAACTGCTCCACAGGAGAAAGATAAGTATTCAACTCCCATGTGATTTACTTCCTCTGAAAACCCACTGGAGGATTAGCTATGGGTCTCTTCCAACTTGACAGTATACAACACTTGCAAACAGACCTGTTATTTAGAAGCATAGAAGTTAGAATTTAAACAAATTGAAGGGGAACAATTTCATTTGTCACATCATTTTTCCTGGGTGTTTTCCTCCACCCTGGCTGAGCTTATTCTGTCTTCTTCATCTATTCCAGACAATCTTTACCTGCCAGTCTCAGCCTATCTTAATCCCTTTTCCTTGTTTTGTATATAGATGTGTATTATTTTTCCATAAATGTGTGAAATATTAATTTTCACTTATGGTGTTCTGAATTATTTCATCTATATTGTCTGTCCTTAACCAAAATTGCAGTGATCTTCAGGATGGGCCTGGAATCATCAGTCTTGGATCCTCTGTGCACATGGCCTCATCTTCAAATTAAGTGACATTCTTGATTACTACTGTGTGGCTGTGGTCAAGTTACTGAGCATTTCTTAACTTCAGGAAAATAGTGATAATAGTAATATCGACTTCATAGGATGTTTATGAGGACTAAGTAGGAGTGGCATCCACTTCCTAAACAACATGCCTCTGGAAACTGAACTTTGATAAATGTAGATAGTTACAGAAAGGCTTCAGACTTCTGTTCATAGGGTCGCTATGAGTCGTGCTCAACTCAATGACAATCAACAACTAATGACTATGGATGCTATTTGTATTCCATTACTCAGAACAGTCCTAACATGATAAATACTCAAGGACCTTTAGTAACAGTTAACTTTATTAAGTGTGTCTTTACTGATTCATCTTTGTTTTCACCTAACAGTGTTGAATTTTTTTTCACTGTCGAATAGGTGTTAGCTGATGGTTTGAGGACTGGTGTAACTGAGTGGCCTGAGCCTTTGGAAGTGAAATCTGCTGTTGAACTTGTGCAACAATTTCTAAATGGTATTTGTTTTCCTAATTTGCCCTTGTATATTGTCTGTTTGCTTTCTTTCATTGATACTTTGTAATTTTCTAGATTAAAATAAACAGTCTTTTTAGATTTACTATTCTTTTTTGGTAGGAAACTCTGGTGGCTTAGTGGTAAGAAATTGCGTTACCAAGCCAAAGGTACGCGATTCAAATCCACCAGCTGCTCCCTATGAGAAAGATGGGCAGTCCTCCTCCCTTGCAGTTTACTGCCTCTGAAAATCCACTGCAGGGCCCACTATGAGTCGATTCTGACTTAGCAGTAATTAACAACAACAGCAGCTACATTCTTTTTGGTGGGATAGACAAAAGATGATGAGATCTGTCATGGAGAAGAAAGGTCCAGATTTGGCTCAGAATTGCTACTAGTAAAAGGTCAAGAGATTTTAAAAATTGTAGTTTAAGTTTTATGTAACAGATGCATATTTGAGATTGCCACAGAAGAGTGGTGTGAACCTTTGAGCACCTACCATGTGCCCCAGCACTGTGTGTCTGGGATTCCCATACCACCTTATGGTTCATGTTTACAGGTGATGTTACAGCTGATGGGGTAGTTGTTTGTTACTGCTTTAGGAGAATAATTTTCTTGAAATGCCTAGTTATATTTCTTTTATCCCCATTTGCCATTTGAAAAGTGGAAATAACTTGGGATGCAGAAAAAGAAAATAAGGAGTTAATAAGTTTTTACCACTTTCTAGACTTAAATAAACCGGATGAATTTGATGATTCTACAAAAAAAGACACAGAGGTAAGTAATTGCTATCAGTTAGAAATGTAAACTGAAATAGCTTTAAAAATTGGGCTATACCACTATCATTCATGCTGTATTAGTGTAAATGCATCAGGTACAACCAGGACAGCTTTTATTTGTCTTTAATGGTGCTAGTATTTGTTTTGTTCTCTTATGAAAGAATAACTTTTTAAAGATAATTAATACAAATATAAGTTGCTTGATTGCAAAGAAGTAGAAATGAATGTATATTTGTACATTGATTCTGTAGGCTATTACTTGGTAGGGAGCTGCACTGCCAACCCAAAGGCACAAAGTTCGAATCCACCAACTGGTGGATTCTCCCAGGGAGAAAAATGGGCATTCTCCTCACTTGTGATTTATTGGCTCTGAAAACTCACTAGAGGGTCAGCTATGAATTGTTTCTACTCAGTGCTACACAATAATAACAATGTATTGCTACTTTAGTGTGCTAATATATTAAAGATAGTACCATGCAGTTAGGGGCCATAAGATCGAATTACTTTAAAAAGTAGATTAAATTACTAAATGAAGCTAGATATAATATCATTTAATGAATAGGGAAAATATAGACAATTAAAATATAATTTAATAAATATTATCACATAGAAGGAATGTTGAATTCTTATTTTCAGGTACCAGAGATTTAAAATAATTTTAAGAGTCTAATTTTTCACTTTATATGTGTTCACAGAACTACATGTTCTTAGAGTAGCATTTCAAAGTCTGCCTTGCACAATTGTAGTTCTTTTTTTTAATGAATGCTTGTTCTCAGAGGTTTCCTCCCTTTTCAGACAGTAAAGCACGATGCTGCTGCGGCGGAGCGTTCCCTTGAGAGCATGTTCTCGGCGCGGGGCGACCTTGATTTTGCTGAGCAGCTGTGGTGCAAAATGAGCAGTAGTACGTGTTGGCTCTGATTGCCAAGTAAAAAACTTTCCTAGTCTTTCTTAGGTTTATTTGTTAAGTCATTTAATTATGACCTTGGTGGAAATACGATCCTTAGTGTTTCAAATTTACCTGTACATTGGCACATTGTACTTGAGAAGTGTGCTGTGACACAGCAATTTATAGAAGCTATTTTCCCTCCTGTCTTTTTTTAGTGTAAGAGTTATGTGATTATTATTCTATCTTACATGAACTAAAACTGTATCTTAGTGAAATACTAATTGGTAAAGAAAAATAAAACATGGAGAAAGGATGAAAGTTATACAGGTGTCCAGGTCTTTCATTCATAGGGTTGCTATGAGTCACCTACGACTCGATGGCACTTCACAACAACAACAACAACATATTTTACTAATTGCAAAAAAATAAAATTTACTAATTACATCCTCTTGTGAAAATCTTAGTGTGATTTCTTTAAATATATATTATCTTGTGCTCACTTCAGCAGCACAGATACCAGAATTGGAACAATACAGAGATGTGCAAATTTGTGAAACATTCCATATTTTGTTGTTATATGTATTTCAGAAGAATAGGAATAAATTTTATAAAAAAATATCTATTTACTATAAGCTTCCTTTCTCCTCTTCACTCATAAGATACAAATACAACTTCATTTGTGTATCTTTCCTATTAATGACCTATTTGACTGCAGAAATATTGTGAGGATAATGCTCCACTGACTTGTTTCCCAGGTGTCATTTCCTATCAGGACCTGGTGAAATGTTTCACATTGATCATCCAGAGTCTGCAGCGTGGTAACATCCAGCCATGGGTAAGTGTCAGGGTGCGTGGAGGAGGCTTTCTTGGCAGCATAGTGCAATAGTGAAGGACAGACCCTGGGGAGGACTGGCTGAGTTCAAATCCAGCTGTGTGAACTTTGTTAGATTCTGTTTATCTTTCTGTGTCCAGTTTCCTTATCTGAAAAGTAGGGGTAATAATAGATACTTCATAGGGCTGTTTGAAGTATTAGCAATTTAGTCATATAAAGTGCCTACTGTTTAACTTATAGTAAGTGCTCAATCTATATAAACTAATAATGTCATAGTTACTGGGAATGATTGCCCTTGGAAACAGCTGGTAAAAGTACAAATTGACATACATACCTTTTCGAAAAAGCTATTTTGATAGTGTATTTTTGTTGTTGTATACCAACAAGTCAATTCCAACCCCTAGCTGACCCCCCTGTGAGTTTTTAGAGGCACTAAACCAGTTGCTCAGGAAGAGATTGATCATCTCTTTTCTGCGGAGCATCTAGTGGATTTGAACTGTGTGCCTTTGAGAGTGCAGCTTCTTACCACATGGCTACAAGAGCTCCCTGATAGTGTATAAAGATCCTTAACACTTTGCCTCACACTTTTAAAATTGAGGACCATGCTTAAAAACACATTTGCCGTCATTTGCGGCAACATGTTAAAATGCATCTTGCCCTTTTTATCAAGTCCATCCTAAGCAGATAAACACAAATACAGTAAAACCTGCAAAAGCCAGAACCTGTTTAAGGAGGAAACGTGTCAGAATTTAAACGCCAATATTTTCCACTAATAGAGAGCGATTGAAAAGCAGTAAAACACTCCCCTGCCAAAGGCACGCACTTGTAGGACCCATGATGGTGTGGCATTCCTGTGGGTTCTGGGTTTCACAGTACGGAGGCATCAGGTATTCATGTCTGAGGAAAACCATCAAAGTCTCACTCATGGTAGCTAATCTTATAAATGATCTGCATGTCCACTGTTAATGGAATGACTAAGAGCAAAATGTTGCAGCTCTTGGAGAGAGACATGATGCTCGAAAAGATGGAAGGTCAGAGAAGAAGAGGAAGACCCTCAACCAGGTGTGCTCTACTGTATCAGGAAGTGTGGAGATGGCAGAGCATAGGGCATTTTCAGATCAGTTGTTCATAGGGGCACTATACTCAAGAGCAGAGGCCTGGTAACCTAATTGGCCATTGAATTTTTCTTTAGAATTTTCTGTGTTTGTGAGATGTTTACAGGTAAAACCCTTCTGTATACAGTGAGTGCAAAAGAAGGGAACACAATTTTTTTTAAAGTGAAAGAAAAAAATACAAAGAAGTTTTGATGAAAATTGGCTCTATTCTGATCGATGTGAGAAAATGACAAATATGCAACATTAAATCAATAATATTGGGAATGTTAGATGTATGAGCTCATGACTCTTAAATTTGCAAATTGTCAAGTAACCGTGTTGGATATTGTTGCCAAAAGAGTTCGTAAGGACCCATGCGTGGAGCCTTGAGGAAGACTTCCTCTGGCAGTAGATTTTTTTTTTTTTGGCAGTGGATTTTTAATGTGGATAAAAGTGTTTGTTTTTGGAAAAGATGCCCAATAACATTTAAATCAGCGAAGAATTAAAGAGAATTCCCAGTTGTCACATTTAAAGGACCAACTCTGATGTTTCTTTGGAGGAACTGCATCTTGTGAGAAGATCCCAGGTGGTATGCAAGTGGTTAAGTGCTTGGCTACAAACAGAAAGATTGCAGTTTGAATTCACTCAGTGGCTTTACAGGAGAAAGGCTTAGTGCTTGGTGATCTGCTCCTTTCACTATAGATTATAGCCAAAAAACTCTGTAGGCCAGTCTTAATCTGTTGCATGGTATTGCTGTGAGTCACCATTGACTCAGTGGCACTCACCAGTCATTTTGAACTCTAAGCAGTCTCGTGTGTACAGAGTAGAACCAGCCATAGGGGGTTGTGCAAGTAAATCACCAGGCTTGTCTCCTGCAGCTTGTCTCCTTGTCTTCATGCTCTCCTCTGGGTGGGCGTTAAGCACCAATATTTTGGCCAGCAGTCAAGTCCATAAATGTTTGCTCCACTCAGTCAGTTGGTGGTAGTGTTGTTATTGTCTAGTCACCTGTGACTCATAGCGACCCTGTGTACAACATCCCTAAACTATGCTCTATCCTGTGCCAATCTTAACTGTTTCTGACATACCTACCCTCATTACCCCACTCACTAAATCATCTTATTGAGGGTCTTCTTCTCTGGCGCTGTCCTTCCACCCTTCCAAGCGTAACATCCCTCTCCAAGGACTGGTCCCTCCTTGCAACATGTCCAAATTAAGTCAGACAAAGCTTCAGAATCCTTGCCTCCAAGGAGTAGCCTGGTGTCACCCTCTCTAGGACGAACCTGTTTTCCTAACCATCCATGGTATATTTAACACGTTGCCGCAAATGATGGCTATAACAAAAAATATGTGTTTCTAAGCACGGTCGTCAATTTAAAAGTGTGAGGCATCGTGTTAATACTCTCCTCCAGCATCACTGCTCAAAGGTATCAATTTTCCTTCTATCATCTCTAGTTATTGTCCAGCTCTCTGATGCTTAGCAAGTAATTGCAGAGTATGGCCTGTATCAGGCACACCTTAGTCTCCAAACTGACATTGTTGCTCTTCAGTACTTTAGAGAAGTTAAATTTAAACTTGATTTCTTTGGACTTCACAAGCAAATGAGGTTAGAAATGGCATTTCTGATATTAGGGGCTTTTAGTCAAATTGTTTCTAGTTCAGGGGGCTATAATTTAAGCTTATAATTTTTAACTTAGAACTAATTTCTTTTGCTTACTGAAATAGTTTGTATTGCTCACTTTAGTTTTAAAAAATTTTCTTGATTTCTAGCTCCATAGTGGAAGTCAGAGTTTGCTGAGTAAGCTAATTCACCAGTCATATCATGGAACCATGGACACAGTTTCTCTCAGTGGGACTACTCCAGTTCTGATGCTTTTGGAAATTGGTTTGGATAAATTAAAGAAAGACTACATCAGTTTTTTCATAGGTTAGTCACGGTTGTCAGCCATAAATAGTCTCAGAGTTTATCTTTCTGCTTTTCCCTTTTCATTGTTCTCCCATGTGCCAGTGGGAGTATTTGTGAGACAAATACTTCCGTCTGTGGCCTTGGTTTCCATTTCTCCTTGTAAAGATTTTGATAATAGGGGGAGGGTTGGGCAGGGAGAACAATGCAACAATGAATGAATGGAAATCCAAAGTGTCTGTAAATTTTCGTTGAGATTAATAATAGAAAAAATAAAAAAAGATTTTGAAGAAAAGTACAGTTGGGTTTTTGTTCACTTTTTTTTTCAGTTTTAAGTATTTTGAGATTCTTTGAGGTTAATGTTGTGTGCCTTTGAGTCAGAATCGACCCCTAGCAACCCTCAAGCAGGTCTTCAGAGACAGTAAATTGCATAGGAGGAGATTGCCCATCTTTCTTCCACAGAGCAGCTGGTGGATTTGAACCATGTATCTTTGGGTTGAAAGCACAGTTCCTTACCCCTAAGCCACTAGAACTGTTAATGCCATCGAGCTATTGAAACACTTGCAAAGCATAATGACCCTATGTACAACCGTCCTAAACCCGGCTCTGTCCTGTGCCAATTGCCCTCTCTGCTAATCTAAGTGTGTTCTCTTGTACATAGGGTTTTCGAAAGCCTGCTATATCGGAAGTGGATGGCCAGTCCTCCTTCTTAGTCTGTCTCAGTTTGGATGTTCAGATTTAAAACAATATCTGACAGACAAGCATTTTACGGAAAAGAGCAGATGAAAGATTTCCCTAATTTTGCCACTAGAACTAGTAGGTAAAAATCGTTTTATGAGATGATGATGTAATACTCAACACATGGTTGTTTAATTAGGCATCAGCTGTGATAATGTAGTGGGCAGGCTTCTCCCTTGAGATTTCCTGCCTCTGAAAATCCACAGGCGGGTCAGCAAGGGTATATTTTTATGTAACAGACAATAGTTAACATTTTATGTGTTTTGTTTTGTTTTTCTTTAATAGGCCAGGAGCTTGCATCTTTGAATCATTTGGTGAGTTTATTTTTTTGTTCTAACATTAATTTTCCTTTGTTCAGTCTTCTGCACAGGGTTATTAAGTGTCTGTGGTTTATTAGACTGTTCTCAAAGTCCTAGAAAACCGGTAAGACAGTCATATCCTTTATTAGTTGGAGGATAAAGATAAGATCTAAGTGGCTAGGAGTCTGAACTGACTGTGGCCCAAGCAATAAGAAATAGCTAACGACAATGACAGGGAGCTTTTCAAAGGGCTGCCCCAATTTACCAGTGTTAAGTGAGTGGAGACTTGTTTAATTTCTTAATACTTCAGGTTTACCATCCATTTCTAGAGACAGACATCTCCATCAACTAGACAAGAACTTTCTGGGGGGGCTGCCATTCATTCCTTCTGATGTTGATTGGGTTATGTAATTAACAGTGTTGGCCTCCTTACTGAAGCCATTTGCAACTTGTCTCTGTCAAAGAATGTGTAAGATGGTTTACTTTGAACATTTCACAATCAAGATTTTACTTACATGTTAGTTTGAGAAATAGTACCGAAAGGTGGTAAATCCTGCCTCACCCCAATTATTAGCATCCAAATTTCGGTTTAGCAGGTGTAGCTGTATCTTCCCGAAGTCCACTTGTCTTTTAACTCCTGATTTTGCTTGCACATTTCTCATGACAGGAATTCTTCATTTCTTCATCTGTAGAGATACAAGAACAGGTTTCTCGTGTTCAGAAACTCCACCATATTCTAGAAATATTAGTCAGTTGCTTGCTTTTCATTAAGCCTCAACACGAGCTACTCTTCTCTTTAACACAGTAAGTATTTTCCAGTTGTTTACTTACCTCGTGCTCTTGAGATTGTTTCAGCCAGAATGTGTACTCATTTGTTTTTTTGTTTGAAAACATAAGTATATTATCTTTATTTTTATTTTTATAAGTGATTTTTCCCTCCCAGCATCACTCTCCACATATATAAACTATCATCTGCATACCAGGAATGAAATAAAAACTCATCATCTGGCCCAAGATAATAAATCATTTGAATTTGGTCTAGCCATAGGTTAGTTTCATACTTTTGCTCTTGTAAAGTTCATTCTTCCAGGGACATTGCACCCTAGAGATCAGTATTCAGAATAAATGAAATTATTAGGGAAATATTTACCCTCTACAACTTTGCTTCTTTTCCCTTTTCTCCACCCAAACCAGTTTAAACAGCAAGCACTTAACAGCTGTGTTCCACACTTGACAAGCAGTCTGATGGTAGCATATATTTTGGCCATTAAAATACAAGCATTTAATCTCATGTAGCTCCAGCAAACATTACCTTTTTATTATTTAAAACAACAAACTATGGAATGTTCTATGTGACAAATTAAGGTTTTCTCCTTTTTTCAAGAAAGGATTATGCCTAGTTTTTTGGGAAAAGGTGGTAGAATCCAGCACCCAACTCTCATTTTCCATGTTGGAGAATGTAATGTGTCCAAACCAACATGCACTAAAGGAAGCATTAGTCACAATACTCTGAGGTCACTCAAAATCCCAATCTGGATCTACAACTCAGCACCATTTTCAGATTACCTTCTTTTAGTTTACATCAAAGGAGCCCTGGTGGCAGTGTCTGTAGGGAATTGCGGTCCTGATATACCATGGTTCAAGAGGACAATGAGCAATCTCCTGGGGAGGGGGTAATGTTGGGAGGGAAGATGCAATGAATCTATTTCCGTTCCAAAGAAGTTAAGTCTATTAAGATTTCCTGGTGAGTACTTCCTTACCTGATCCTTTAAGGTCTTCTGTCAAATTTCAGATACAGCCAGCTGGAAAATTAGAAGTGCAGTATCAATACATCTATTTCAGGTACACTGTACTTGCCAGGGGAAAATAAGCAACCAACTTAAGCCATAAATATCAATGCTGTCAGCATTTTTCAGTTTTATTATCTAGATAAAAACAAAGTACTGCAGCAGGTCTACTCAGCACTGCTTTGTTTTTATTTGTTTTTACTCATTGGAGTAGATTCTGCATGCTCTGTCTTCAAAATAACAGAATGATTTTAAGGTGGAGTCTTAGGGGAAAGGCTTCCAATTCAGGATTCAGATTTGACTCTGACTTTACAGCTTCCTTTAGCAAGTTTCCTTTTGCTGAATCTTGATTCTTCATCTATTAAAACAAGGATCTAATAAAGTCATGTATTTCTAGTGGGAATTAAGTGATGTAATATGTGTAAGCAAGCTCTGATGGCTTAGTAGTAAGGAATTGCACTGCCAACCCAAAGGCAAGCAGTTCAGATCCGCCAGCTGCTCAAGGGAGATGAGCAGCAGTCTTCTCCTTTGTGATTTACTGCATCTGAAAACCCTATGGAGGTGCACACCCATGTTTATTGCAGCTTTGTTCACAATAGCAAAGAGTTGGAAACAACCCAAGTGCCCATCAACAAATGAATGGATAGAGAAGCCCTGGACGATGTTGTGCTGAATGAAATATCTCAGTCACAAAAGGACAAATCTTGTGTAGTGCCACTGTTGTAAAACGAGATTGACATTGGGGCTGAGGGGGGACTGAGAGAGAAGGGATAAATTATGTATACTGCACTGAAACAGATGAGGGAGAGAACTGTTTAAAAGGGATATATGATTAGATATTGTTGCCATGACAGGAGTCCAGAACGAAAGCTGCAGAATGGAGTGGACTTTGGAGGAGGGATTGTAAAACAATGAAAGAATTTTTCTTTGAATTTTCAAAGAGAAGAGCGAATTGAGGGGGAGGGGTGGGCAGGGAGAAAAGTGCAACAATGAATGACGAGAAATAAAAAAGAAAAGAAAACCCTCTGGAGGGTCAGCCATGAGTCAGTTCCAATTCAGTGGTACAAAACAACAACAACAATTTGTATAAAGTAACACTGATGGTGGTGGTTTACATGTTGTGTTGCTAACTGGAAAATTAACACTATGAACCCACCAGTTTCTCTAAAGGAGATGAGTGGTTCTGCTCCTGTTAAAAATTTACAGCCTCGGCAAGCTCTGGTGGCCTACTGGCAAGAAGCTGCACTGCAATTCCAGAGATGTGAGGTTCGAATCCACCAGATGATCTGCTGAAGAAGGAGGAACAATCTCCTCCTGTATCAGTCAGATATGATTTGATGGTACACACATTAAAAAAAAAAAAAAGTAATAAAAAAAATTAAAAAAAAAATTACAGCCTCAGAAACCAAATGCAGGGTCACCATGATGAAGAATTAGCACAACAGCAATTGGGTTGGTTTTATGTTCAGAGGAGGAAGGGATTAGTAAATATTAGTTCTCCTTTCTAACTATCCCTATATATCTGTATCAGTCCAGCTGTCTGTGTGATAATGGAATGAGATGTTATTACCAGATCTCTGTCAACAGGACTGCTATAGTTCTAGAGATTTTTCCAATCCATTTGACTGGGGCTGTTGATGTCTTATGTGTGTTCAGAGGTTCAAATTAGAAGTCATTGAACCATCTAGTAGAAGGGCTAGGGAGCTCTACTGGCTAAGGAGTTTCACTGACGACGCAAAGTTGGCTCAAATCCCCCAGCTATGCCCCGCATGAGAAATATGGGCAGTCTCCTCCCAAGCGATTTACAGCCTCTGGAAATCTGCTAGGGGTCTGCTGTCACTCAATTCTGCCTTAATGGCGTGTAATAACAGTGGAAGGACTAGAGTTCTTTTTCCTTACCCCTCAAGTTAGAATCTACCTCAACTGTAAAGGAGATCTTTTAAAATGATTGTGGCTTATAGGCTCTAAAAGATGATCTTCTCATTAATTTAGTGAGTTACTCCCAAACTCTAAAAAACATGTGGAAGCTGTGTCTTTGATTCTTTTCTATTATTTTGTTTGTTTGTTTTTTCTTTTCTAATACTTCTATCTCCCCAGGAAGCCATTATTTGAAGTCATCTTAAATATAGTTTATATTTATGAGAATTATGCTTAGTGTTACTTAAAGTGAATGAGAAAACAAGAACACAACAAAACATAACCCAAGTTTTGTGGATTTTATTTGTTTAATATCTGTGATCCTGAACTAATGTTGATATTGAAATGTTTTATTTCCTAATGAATTTTAGACTACCAGAGCGCTTTTTTCTGTACATGGCACACTTTTCCAAAAGTGATTTTTCTTTACATCTTTTAGATCCTGTATAAAGTATTATAAACAAAATCCTCTTAATGAGCAACACATTTTCGAGCTGCCGGTCCGACCAATTGCTATGAAAAACTTATATCAAAGGTAAGCAGTTTAATGATTGAGTTACACCTGAGTCTGCCATGTTTGGGGCAGTCTTGGGATCCGTGTTTCATGGGGCTGCTTCCTCTTCTGAAACCCCCTGTCTTCTGTAACCAGCTCTCCAACCACAGTCATGGATAGTTCTCTCTCCCGGTTCCTCTGTCTCCCAGTCCTTTGTCTGCCTTCTTTTAGACGTTTGGGCCTTCTTGTTGGTGCTGCTGTAACCAACTCATAGTTGACCCTCCCACAGGTTTGTGTGTGTGTGTTTTAATGTCTTTTTTTTTTTAATTTTCTTTTTAAATTGTTATTAATTTTAATAAATATTTACAGAGGTTTTGAATTTCCATTCATTCATTGCCACACCTTTCTCCTTGCCCACCCCTCCCCAGGGAAGAGATTGCTCATCTTTCTCCTTTGGAGCTGCTGGTGGACTCAAACCTTGAACCTTTGGGTTCGCAGTGCAGTTCCTTAGGACTAGGCCACCAGGGCCTTTAGTCTTTCATTTTTCTCTTGTTATTCTTTCTAATTAAATAAGTAGCTAAAAGGGAAAGGATAGATAGAGGGTGTAGTGGGGTGGGGTAGGGTGAGGGAAATATCTGGGTAATGACTACAAGGTCAAGAGTGTGTGACCTTGAGGAGGAGTAAAAGGATGAGGGTTGGGGACATGTGTTGTCAGGATGAGATAACAGGTTGATCGTCCACACAGACACTGAAGGGGCCTCTCACTCTTCCTTCAGCATACCTGAAATTTCTTTCATATTTCCACCCTCCTTGTTTAGTTCCTCCTTAGCTAACCCCTGAAAGTGCTCTAGTAAAAGCATAAGTGATCAAATTGCCAAATCCATTGAATATTTTAGTCCTTCTCTTGCTTAATTTACAGCATTTAACTTTATTACCTTTTTAAAATTGTTTTTCTTCCTTGGATTCTGTGACGTAGACTTAATGTCTTAATTTTAATTCTACCTCTCTAACTTACCTCTACGAACAAGAATAGTTCTTCCTTGATGTGAGTTTTCACACTTTATGTGAATTCTGTCCTCTCCATTTTCTTTTCTTGTACTTTCTGTCCTTGCTGGGTGATGGAATTTAGACTCAAGACTTCATCTCCTCTGTCCTAATGATGACTTGGGGAGCTCTGGTGGCTTAGTGGTAAGGAGTTCTGTTGCCAACCCAAAGGAACATGTTTCACATCCACCAGCTGCTCCGATGGAGAAAGATGAGTAGTCTCTTCCCATGTAATTGACTCCCTCTGAAAACCTGGTGGAGGGGCAGCTTTGAATTGGTTCTGACTCCATGGTATCCAGCAACAACAACAATGGCTCTAAACCCATAATTCTAGCTTTTCCTGTCTTCTGAGTTTCAGACCAGTGTTTCTAAATATGAATCTCCAACATCAATGTCCTGTGTTGTTGTTGTTAGGTGCTATCAAGTCAAGTACAACTCATAGCAACCCTATAAGCAACAGACCTGAACCATGTCCTACCCTATGTCATCCTCATCATCTCTGATATACTTGAGCCAATTGCTGCAATCACTATGTCAGTCCATCTCGTGAGGGTCTTCCTCTCTTTCTCTGACCCTCCACCTTTCCAAGCATGATGTCCTTCTCCAAAGAATAACCTCTCCTAGCAATATGCTAGAGTTTGTGAAATGAAGTTTCTCCATTCTTGCCTCTAGGGAGCATTTAGACATATCTGTTCTTTTGACAGTCCATGGGATATTCAGTACTCTTCTCCATATTCATTATCCAGGTCTCCGATGTATACCAAGTGATGTATACCAATGTACACCATGGCCTGAATCAGGTACATGTTAGTCTTCAAACTGACACCATTGCCCTCAGTAATTTGGAGAGGTCCATGTCAGAGAGCTTGATCTCCTGACAGCTGGTACCAACGGTATTGATCATAGATCCAAGTAAAATGAAGTCATTAGCAATTTCAGTAGTTTCTCCATCTATCATGAGGTTGCTTATCAGTCCAGTGGTGAGTATTTTTGTCTTGATGTTGAGATGCAATCCATATTGAAGGCTTTGATCTTCTGCAGCAAGCATTTCAAGTCTTCCTCACTTTCAGGAAGCAAGGTTGTGCTGTCATGTGCATAACACAGGTTGTTGATGATTCCTTCTCTGATCCTGATGCCACATTCTTCTTCATAGAATCCAGCTGAAGAAAATTAAGTCACAAGAATCTTAAGTACGACCTTGAATCCATCCACCTGAATTTAAAAATCACCTCCAGAATAGGTTTGCAGCATTGAACACTGAGACAAGATGAGTTATGGAATGACATAAAAGATATCATCTATGAAGAGAGCAAAAGGTTGTTACAAGGACAGAGGAGGAAATAAAGACCAAAATGGATGTTAGAAGAGACTCTGAAAATTACACTAGAACATTAAGAAGCCAGAACAAGGGAGAAATTCCAAAGTAAAAGAAATGAACAGAAGATTGTCAAGGGCAGCTTGAGAAGACAAAGCAGTAGGCAATTCAAATTCTAAAATCAAATCCTCATCCATTTCCTAAAACTTTTTCTTCTCCCATATTTCTTTCTCAAATGACGATTATTTACTCTCCACTTAATACCCCAAGTGGAGAACTGAGACTAACCCCCTCTCTGTGGTCCTCAACTCCTTCCTTGAAATGGTTACCAACCTCTCTCCTTCCTATAGCCCTTGAATCTGTCTCCTTCTCTACATGTTCCCGTCATCAGTGCTTTACTGCATCCTTTAGTCCCTGGATTGTGGTCAAATCATTTTTCCTAACTGCTCTGTCCTTCAGTATCTTTCCTCTCTATGTCAGTGCCAGAGTGGTCTTCCTAGAATTCAAATCCCACCCTGACATCAATCTATTAAAGTCCTTCTGTGACTCCTGTTTCCTTTCTTTAGGACAGTGTTATGGTGCCTTAATATGGTCTATCACATGGGGCAATAATAGGAGTCAATCAGTATAGTTCATGATAGAAAATACAAGGAATATGAATCGTAGAATAAAACACAATATACATGAATGAAACACAGTGTATGAATGTTTGTATGCAAACCAATTAAAAATTGTTAAAATTTTAAAGAAGGGTCTGTCAGGCTGCCTTTCTGGGGCCACATCCTCCCGTGTCTCCCTTTCCCCTCTGTGTTTTTGGGCGCTGTGCTCTTTACCCTCAACACCTACACCACACCTTCATCCCAAGTGCCCTGTCCCCTCTTTATATAACTTACTTCTTGTCATTTCATCTCCAGTGCTGCAATCTCCGAGTTTTCTCTAACTCCAGATTCTCCAATCTGAGCTAGAAACCTTTCTTCTCTTGCCCCATAAAAAGCCCTGGCAGTCAGCTCTTGACTATTAAACCAGAAGGTCAGCTGTTTAAATCCACCCAATGGCCCTGGAAATCTGCTCCCATGAAGATTACAGCCTGGGAAGCCATAAGGTGAAGTCCTGCTCTGTCCTTTGGGATCAGAAATAACAGGATCGCATCCACCACCATTGCCCTGGAACACATCATATGCTGTATTTTTCGGTTGTGCCTTTTTATTTTCTACTGATGTCATTTGCATTCTTAGTCCTCTCCCTGTCTTGACTGTAATTCTTGAGTTTATCTCTTCTTCAGTTCTTATCACTAAGTGACTGTATAAGGAAGGAAGAAAATAACTCTCCCCCCCCCCCCCCCGCCCCTTTTATTTTATTTCATAGTGAGAAGCCACAGAAATGGAGAGTGGAAATAAGTAGTGGTCAAAAGAAGGTGAAGACAGTTTGGCAACTAAGCGATAACCCACCAGTAGACCATCTGGATTTTAGCAAACATGGTAATGGTGGTTTGTGATTGATTCCTTTAAATTATTCCAGTGGAAAATGCACAAAGGCGTACTGCTGGGGGTCATCATTATAAGTGCTATAAAGTTAAGATTTGTTACGATAGAAAAGCCTACAGGTTATACCTGTTTTTATTGGTTTTTCTAAACTCTAGGTGTAGAACATATTTATTCTATCAAGAGTTTTATACAAATTCAAGGCCTAGAAAAATTCAAAATGTAATAATCCTGAAGGTATTATATCTTAGGAAGAGGAACTTTTATTGAAGTAAGTAAAATGGTGGAGACACAGACATGAAAATAAATGATTAAATGCCTGTTCATACATTATACTTTTGTACAGTGTTTAAAACAGTAATGATAGTATTTATGCTCTAGTGTCTTTTCGGTGGCTGGACTAAGTATTGTGATTTCTAATAATAATATAATATTAAGTAGAAATTTATATATATTATAATATATAAAATATTAAGAGAAGGTAAATAAAAATATTTTAAAGGATAATTAGCTGGCTCACCAAGTCTTCCTCCTTCAGTTATTGTTGTTTGGAATACTGTCAAGTTGGAACCAACTCATAGCTGACCCTCCAGTGGGTTTCAGAGTCTGTAAATCGCATGGGAGAAGATTGCCTGTCCTCTGTCACGGAGCAGGTGGTGGGTATGAATCACATACCTTGGAAATGGGCAGTGCAGCTTTTTAACCACTCAGCCACTAAAACTGTTACCTGTATCCAGATGGACTGGATGGTGCTTTTGTCTTATTCAGGGTGTTCAGGTGGTTTAGTGCTAAGTAGTTGCTCTGCCAACCCAAAGGCATGAGGTTTGAGTCCATCAGCTGCTCCTTGGAAGAAAGATGAGCAATCTCCCATTCAGTTTATTATCTCTGAGAACCCGCTGCACTATCAACTATGAGTTGGTTCTGACTTGATAGCACATAAGAGATTGTCTTATTTATATAGGTCTTAAATGATTATTATAATAATATTGCTAAAAGAAATATTACTAAAAATAAATCTGATCTTTTTCAGACAGGGTCCAAGATTTCCACGGTCTGTAAACAACTGCTTGTTGTTGTTGTTGTTGTTGTTGTTGTTGTTTGCTCGAGTTGGCACTGACCCATAGCTGATCCTCCAGTGGGTTTTTCAGAGGTAATTTAAATGCACAGGAGGAGACTGCCCATACTTCTCCCGAGAAGCAGCAGGTGGATTTGAATCATGTGCCTTTGGGATTGTAACACAGCTTCTTACCACTAGGCCACATATAACATAGTTGTATACTTTACAAAATTTTTTCCAGAAAATGTTTATATTTTTATTTCTCCATTGTTGTTGTTGTTGTTGTTGGTGGTGGTGGTGGTGGTGGTGGTGGTAAGTGCTGTTGAGTTGCAGGTGACTCATAGTGACACTATGAAGGAGAGTCCTCAACGCTTGGGTGTCTCATCCTCTCTCTAGGTTCATAAGGTTTCCGGAGGCAAGCTATTACGGAAGTGGATGCCACTCCTCCTCCCAAGCTTATTTTAATCGGGGAACTCCACCCCACTCTGTCTGCATTGGGTAACCAGCCATTAACACATTTGACACATCAGTGTCACAGTGTTAGCAACCACAAGTTACTGCTGTATGGCAACTTGTACACCAGGGCTATACGACCTAGAGGAATGTCTGAACAAAAACAATGAAGGACAGGCCTGAGGGCCGCAGATTAAAAGTCACCCACCTTCGGCTTGGTAGCATTGCCTTCCTTTCTCCATTAGAGCGCTATTTATAATATAACTGCAGTAATCCTAAAGAATCTGAAGGGATTGTCCTGAGAGCTAGGCCTTTTCAAGGGAGCTCTGGTGACCTAGTGATAAGAAGCTGCACTACAATCCCAAGGGGAAGTGGTTCAAATCCACCAGCTGCTCTGTGGGAGAAGAATGGGCAGTCTTCTGTGCAAGGGTCAGCTATAGGCCAGCTCTGACTCGACAGCACACAACAACATCATGTCTTCTCAAGTGTGATTATAAAACCTGGAAGATACAAAATATTGAGAATTGACTTAACAAAAATAGAAGAAATTTTGCCTGACAAAAGATAACAGAAGCAAAACAACACACAAATAGTAAACTAAGTGTGCAGCTCATGTTCAGAAAAGGCTGTATTCTCTAGTATATGAAGAACTTTCAAATCAGTCATTAAAGATATTGATAACATGGTACATGAACCAGATAAAAAGGAAATTCATAGGGCATCTTAAAAATAAAAAATTCACAACTCCACCTGTGATAAGGTAAATGCATATTTAGAGTGTATTGTTGTTATGTATCTTTGAGTCACAGCTGACCTTCTGGTGGGTTTTCAAAGGCAATAGATCTCAGGAGATTGCCTGTATTTCTTCCTTGGAGCAGCTGGTAGATTTGAACCACATATGTTTGTATTGGCAGGGCAACTCTTTACCACTAAGCCACTGGAGCCCCCTTTATATTATATAGATCTGTCCTTCCCCTGTCCGATGAGTAGAAATGTAGACTTTAGGGCCACACAGGTGCAGAGACATGGGAACTAGCAGCCACCCCACTCTGCTGGTGGGAGTGTCAAGTGGTACAGAGTCTGTGGAGATCCATAGTCACAAGAATTTTAAAGGAACCTGTCCTCCGCCTAGCAGTTTCATCAGTAGTCAGACATGTACAGAATGACCCATGAAGAAGGTTATTGCACTCTTGTTTATCAAGCATTGAAAAACCAAACTTTGAAACTGGGACTAGAAGAAGTTCTGGAAAGCTATAACCAAACTTCACCCTGAGGATGGGACGGGGCAGGTAGTGCTGGATCCTCATGTTATTAAATGTTAGAATAAACTGGGAATCGTAATGCTCAGACTAAGTCCAATCTCTGAAGTTGTGGAACTTGGATATCAATAATTTTTAAAGTTCTTGGGCCAGTTTATTGTATAATTAAAGTTGAGAAGCAACCACTTAGACATTTTTATCCCTATCTGTTGTTCTTTTGCAAAAAAAATTACTTTTATTATTAAGAACAGAATTTTTAAGATGACAATATATGTCTTATGTTTCTGGAAAATGTCAGTTTTTAAAATTTTATTGTGTAAAAATGAGAAGTCTATTAAGGCAAAATTCATGCAAGATAAAACCCATTTCCTGGTGATGCTGAGTAAACAGTTACTCACTGAGCTCAGAGCTTGTAAAATCTTTTTGATACAGGCTGCAATAGAAAATTGGGAAAGTCACTTTGGATGTTAGAATATATACAGCATAAAAAATTTTCTAAAGTAGTAATCTAATCTTTTTATGAAAATAAGAGGTTTGAGTTTTTGTTTTTTTTTTTAAAAAAGCTTTTTTAATTGAAATTGCTTAGAAATATACCAAAACTCCCTTTTGGCTTGAACTTTATGACCTCTTTTAACCATTAAATAGTCTTGATGTGTTGTCTTGAAATTATTCAGTGACCTTTGGCCCAAAGCTAGATTCACTCACGAAGAAAGACCTCATTTGTATAAGTCGTGGCCTGTTCTTAGGGAGCTCCTGAGAATTGTATACATCTAAAGCCCAGTAATGATTTCTTTTCGCATTTAAGATCACATGCATTGAAGAAGGCAGACACTTTTTTATAGGATTTGAGCATGTGGGTCAAATAGTAACTTTTCAAGACATCTAAAAGTATGATGGTTTTTAATAAAACAGTTAACATCAAAAGCAGGAAGGCTGTAGAGAGGAAAGCGTGTTTTTGCTGCCATAGAAAGACAGACTGATGATTTGGAGTTAATGGGGGTGAAAAACAGTGTCCATTAGAGTGTGTTCCCCCAGCAGGCACTCAGGAAATGGTTGTCCACAATGATGGGAATATGGAAACAAGTGGACATAATCCCATCTAAATGTTAATTGACCATTTATTTTTGAAAGACAAAAGTCAGTCTTTAGGAGGCAAAAAAAGTGGGTATGTGTCTAGTTAAGGTTACAAATCCTAAGTAGAAATTCTTTTCTGAAACGTGGTGGTGGTGGTGGTGGTGATGGTGGTGGCTGTTGTTGTTGTTATGTGCTATTGAGTGGCTTGTGACTCATAGCGACCCTATGTACAACAACCCCAAAACTTGCTCTATCCTATGCCAATCGCACTGCCTCTGACAACACACCCATTGCGATTACCCAGTCATTGAATCAATCCACCTCATAAAGGGTCTTCCCCTCTTGCACTGTCCCTCCATCCTCCCAAGCATGATGTCCCTCTCCAAGGGCCGGTCCCTCCTTACAACATGTCCAAAGTATGTCA